ACCGAAAAAACTTTTTTGCAAATTTCATAGTGAACTTTGTTTTGATTTTTTGTGAAAATATTCAAATCCATGAATATTTATAAAACAATTGATGAACTTTTCAAATCCGCGAGCTCCCGGCCCAACACGTGCCTGACGAGAGCAATGTCGTCGCCTACTTGGACCAAGGCCTAAGCGTTTTATTTTCTTTTCTATTTTTTCATTTGATTTCTTATTTTGTTAATTCATTTTTCTCTTTTTTGAATACCAAAATACAAGTTGTAACTAACTTCTTAAACTAGTGATTTTAAAAAAATTATAAAATATTTATTAAATGTTTTAAAAAACAGTTACTGTTTTCAATTTTATCCCTTTGTATTTATTAGTTGGGGTCATTTCAAGGATGTCCAAAAAACACCATGTTCAACGGAGATTATTCGGTAAGGTCAGAACGGTTCATCTGAGAGCACGTTATTTTTCAACATCTTTGAAATGGCCCCAATTTCCCCATCAAAAAAGACGAAGAAATGGATCCGATTTTTTTCATGGCCTTTTACGAGCAATTCAAGGCACCATGCCAAGTTGATTTGGTTTTTGACAAATTCTGCATTTTCTGGAGTTTCCTTTGTAAAAGAAGACCGATAAAATGGTCGAACATGTTGCAACTTGCATACGGTGTCGAAAATAGTTAAACCTAGCATGGTTGCCTACCATGGTCACACTAGTGCAGAACCGGGCTTTAGTTCCGATTCGTAATGGCCTTTAGTGCCGGTTCGGTCCCCCCCTTTAGTACCGGTTCGGTACGAACCGACGCTAACGTGCCACCACGTGGCACGAGCCAGGCCCATCCGGGTGCATCCTCCATTAAACATGGTCTAGTTCTGAACATTTTTTAAATGACCCCAACTTTTGCAGGCAAAGGGCATGCCCGTGGTAAGGATCTATGCCAGGTTTGAATGATTTCCGACAAAATATGCAAGTTGCGACACGTCCGGCCATTTATCTACCTTTTTTTAACCAAGAGAACCCCGGAAAAGTCAAATTTGTCGAAACCAAAACAACTTGGCATGGTGCGTTTAATCGGTAATATAAGATCATGGAAAGATTTGGGGTGAGTTAATGGATGCCGCAAAAACATGCTCTCAAATGGACCCTTCTCGCCTACCCGAACACCCTCTGGTGAACATAATCTATTTTTGAACATGCATGAAATCACCCCAACCTTTTCCAGTAGGCGGGCATGCCCATGATAGGCATACATGCCAGATTTGAATGAATATCCCACAACGTATGCATGTTGTGTCACGTCCGGCCATTTATCAGCTTGTTTTCATCAAGAAAACTCTAGAAAATGAAAGAATTGTAGAAAACTTAAACAGCTTGACATGGTGCCTTGATTTGATCATAGAAGGAGGTGGAAAAATTAGGTCTTTTGGAGGATGTTGAGAAACAACGCACCCTCGCACCCTCAGGTGGAGCCTTCTAGCCAACCTGAACACCCCTTCATTAAACATGGTCTACTTTTGGGCATTCTTAAAATGACCCCAACCTTTTCAAGCAGGTGGGCATGACCATGGTAGTCATCCAGGTTTGTACGATTTCTGACACCGTATGCAAGTTGCGACACGGCCGCCCATTATCGAGCATTTTTTTACAGAGAAAACTATGAAAAATGCAAAACTTGTCGAAAATCAAAACAACTTGGCATGGTGCCTTGAATTGGTCATACAAGGCATGAAAAAAAATTGGGGCCAATTCAAGCATGTCGGAAAATGGCGTGCTCTTAGACGGAGCCATCTCGCTTACTCGAACACCTCCGTTGATCATGGTCTAAGTTTCCTCTTTCCATCTTTTGTAGCGCGTCAAATATAACGCTAAAAAGAAAGACTCTGGTTTTCCTTTTCAATCAGGCTGGTTTTTTCTTCAGTTTTTACATGGGTTTCTATATTATTTTGTTTTTCTTTTTTTTATTGATTTTGAAAAAAGTTCATCAATAATTCAAATTAAGTTCATTGATTTGGAAAAAAAATTAACAAAGTTTAAAAAATCCATTGATTTAGAAACAAAGTTCATCAATTTATAAAAAAGACCAACAATTTTCAAAAACAAATTGCCAACTTGCGAAATAGTTCACGAATTTATGAAGAAAACTGATCAATTTTGGGGAAAAAAGTTCACTGATTTGAAAGAAAAATTCAAGAATTTAAAATTTTGTCGTCATTTTTGATTAAAAAATCATGAATTATAAGAACTTCACGCATTTAATATATAAAAAAGAAAAAAAAACAACCAGAAAATGTTGCGCTTTTCAAATGTTGTATTTCAATTATAAAAAAACTTATTTAACACTTGAGGTACGGTTGCCTAGCTGGTTAATGCGCCTGTGCTAAGTGTTGAAGGACCTAGGTTCGAATCCTGCAGCAAGCACTTTTTTTGCGGTTTCAAAAAAAAAAGGATGAATGTGCTGAATGGGCCAGCCCAGCACGGCAGGGTGTGTTAATGTACAGCGTATAGGTGATTCTAAAAAAAAGTTTATAAAAAATGCCTATCATGCCCATACTTATGAAGAGGTATGGATTAATCTGAGCCGTCCTTGTGTTTAGGGGGGGTGTACCGAAGCAGAAACTAAATACGGACGGCTCTTTGTATCAAGTTCTAGTGCAGGTGCAGGGATGATTCTGCGAGATAATATGGCTCCATCATTTTTTTGGCTTGCAGAGCACTATGGTCATGTAGAGATGCTTTGGAGGCGGAGCTGTGTGCGTGCATGGAAGGACTGTCTCTGGCGTTACAGCGATCTGATCTTCCTATAGCCATTGAGATGGACTCGAGCATGGCTGTGTCTATGATCTCATGTGGCGACATTGATCGATCAGTTTATGCCTTCCCTAGTGAATGAAATCAGACTTCTTTTAAGTCTTAGGCAGACTTGTATTACTCATGTTTCTAGACTACAAAATAAAGTAAGTGATAGACTAGCTACCTTTGCTAGAGTTGAAGGTCGGACTATGACTTGGCTAGGGTCTGGTCCAGTAGAGGTTTTGGAACTAGCTCAAGGTGATTGTAAGAACATTGTTATTGAGTAATACAAATTCTGTTGCGGTTTCAAAAAAAAAGGATGAATGTGCTGAATGGGCCAGCCCAGCACGGCAGGGTGTGTTAATGTACAGCGTATAGGTGATTCTAAAAAAAAGTTTATAAAAAATGCCTATCATGCCCATACTTATGAAGAGGTATGGATTAATCTGAGCCGTCCTTGTGTTTAGGGGGGTGTACCGAAGCAGAAACTAAATACGGACGGCTCTTTGTATCAAGTTCTAGTGCAGGTGCAGGGATGATTCTGCGAGATAATATGGCTCCATCATTTTTTTGGCTTGCAGAGCACTATGGTCATGTAGAGATGCTTTGGAGGCGGAGCTGTGTGCGTGCATGGAAGGACTGTCTCTGGCGTTACAGCGATCTGATCTTCCTATAGCCATTGAGATGGACTCGAGCATGGCTGTGTCTATGATCTCATGTGGCGACATTGATCGATCAGTTTATGCCTTCCCTAGTGAATGAAATCAGACTTCTTTTAAGTCTTAGGCAGACTTGTATTACTCATGTTTCTAGACTACAAAATAAAGTAAGTGATAGACTAGCTACCTTTGCTAGAGTTGAAGGTCGGACTATGACTTGGCTAGGGTCTGGTCCAGTAGAGGTTTTGGAACTAGCTCAAGGTGATTGTAAGAACATTGTTATTGAGTAATACAAATTCTGTTGCCGAAAAAAAAGAGAAGTACCTTCAGACTCGGCTAAATCACCAAATATGGAGCGGTGATGAAAAACCAGGAAAGATGTGTGGGCGATACCATCCTTAGGGGCCATTAGGGCGAGTTTCTTACGGGAGCTTGTCTTTTTTCCCTCCATTGATGACACCCAGCACACAAAAGCTCCTTTTGGAAACGGATAGCCAAGTTGTGGCCGCCAAACTGAACAACTACAAAACTGTAGTAATTTCTTCCCACGATATTTTTTATATTTTATTTTCTTATTCTATTTTCTGTTTATTTACTCCTATTGTTTTGACCCAAAACTGTGGTAATTTCTTCCCACTGAATGCTCATCGTTGAATATCCAGAAATAAATGCGAGCACCAGAATTTGAATCCTAATGGGCTGGGATACCAAAGTCCCTCTAACCATCCAACTACAGATTGGTTCGCTGAACACTGTGTTTTTTAACATGTGGAGATTGTTCTACAAAATAGTTTGATTTTTTGTTAGTGGAATAATAGTTTTTTGGCCAAAGTACGATTGATTCTTCAAGCGGCGACGCGTTCATGAGCTACGGACACCCTCACCCTCCAGAAAACAGCGCCTCCATTCCCCACCCCTCCTCCAAACCAAATCCCTCGCCGTCGGCCGCCTCCCCCTCCACCGGCGGCCATGGGCGACCCTCAGTTTACCATCGGCACCTCCATGAGCGATATACTAGCCACCATAGAGCGCGACGGCCGCGACCCTGCGACGATCTCCCTCGGCATAAACGTGATGCTCTGCTTCGTGTACGACTACCTGCCGGAGCCGCCCGTCTCCCTCACCGCCTCCCTCTCGCTCGCCGGTGCGTCGTGGGTCCCCGACGGCATCGACCGCATCAGCCGCCTCCCCGATGTGCTCCTCCGCGACATCATCTCTCGCCTCTCCACCAAGGACGCCGCGCGCACCGCCGCCCTCTGCGTCCAGCTCGGCTTTTCTTTCATGGAGGACATCGACGTGGTGGATGCCCCTCGCCTGGAGAGGCTCTTGCAGTGGCAAACTGTTTCCGCGGTCAATAGCCGGGTCATGGCGAGCCGCTCTTTCAGAATCAAGATTGGGCGTGCACCTAACTTGCGTGTGGTACAGAGCTGTATCAATTTGCAAGTGGTACAGAGCTGTGTCAGTTAATAATGCTAATCTAGGATCTGAATTAGTTTCTCTGTCCTTGGTGCATTGCAATCTGGGAGCAAGGAGAACACTGTCCCTAGTGTCCAGATTTTGGCCATGGAGGTGCAGTTTGGTGCCTGCAATGCTGTGAAGAAAGTGCCCGGCTTTCTCCGCTGTTTCCCCAACCTGGAGACTCTCCATGTCCAGGTGAAATTGTAATTTTGCAGTATTGGTGGCAATTTTGCAGTATTGGTGGCTGTGTTATCTAGCATGGTCTGAACTGACTAGCATGGACAGAGCTGTGAATCAGATTAATTATAAGATTGCTGGCCTACTGCTGCTATTGCTACTGCTGCATGATATGCCGTATTCAGCTGATCCCTGAACCGTGTATGCCGTATTCAGCTGATCGATTTCATCTGCAGTCCACCCGCATACTTGAGGAGTCCACCGGCAAGGTCAACCTCAAGTTCTGGCAGGAGGGCGGCCCCATCGAATGCGTCCTGCAGAGCATGAAGAAGTTGTTCTTCTACGAGTTCCAAGGGTCGAGAAGCGAGCTTACTTTCCTCAAGTTTATCGCGGAGAGAGGGCGGGTGCTGGAGCAGATGGTGGTTGTGGTGGCCAGTGAGTGTTTCTCCTCGGGAGACAATGTCAATGCCAAACTGAAGCCTCTGGCCAATGCAAAATGGAGCAGCAAAGCTTGCAAGCTAGAGCTCTTCAGAAGCCCATTCGAGGAGGTGTCAGGTCCTCCTTACTGCCACAAGATAGCTTCTGATTTTGGGTTTGCTGACCCTTTTGACCTCCAGTACTACTCCGAAGTAGAAGTGATCTCTGTAAGTTAATTAGCAGCTCTTGTACAAGTCTCTTCTGGTACCTAGCTGGGCCTTATGTTGTCGTCAGACCTGGGAGACTATTTGGCAAGCTGTGAAATGCTTGTTTGTGCCGAGTCAAGTTTTAGGTTGGTCGATGCTGGACGCATAACAGATGGAATTAGATGTCTATCTAGTCAATTGTAATGGTCTTTCTGCTTTGTTGAACGGCAATTCCAGTATGTCATGTAGAGGCTGTTTGGATTGCAGCCCCGGTTTGCCCTGCCAAATATTTGGCCTTGACCACAGCGTGGGCGTGTGTTTGGTTGGCTTCCGATTATTTGGCTCACCCTCAGCCCTGTAGCTCCTCCCGTTCAATACGTAGCCAATTTTTTGGCAAACTGTTGGCGGCGGAATCCTGCGCCAAATTATTGGCGTGCCATCGTTGGCAGGGCAACCATGGGCAGGATCCAAACAGGCCTGTAGTTTTTATTGTGAGCATGAATTAATCTGCTATGCGCTGGGTTGGTTTCAGCTCAAAAGAGTACTAATTGATTACCACAATTATTGTCTTTAGTTTTGATTTTCACAAACTTTTGCTACATGTTTCTTTTATAAACTGTACCGATTAGTGCAATTGCACGGAGATGTTGGAAACCTTCACAAACAGGATCAATGTCTTCACTGAAGGAGTGGTGCTAGAGAAACCCAGGTGAGCTACTAGCGTGGAACCATCCCGTTGAGTACACAAATAGACATAGGTGATCATGGCATTGAGTTTGAAAAATAGATGTATCATTTTGTTCTTATGTCCTGAGCACTGTGTGAAGTGGACACATGGATAATCAGTTCTGTCCAACCTGTAATGGGATTATCATAGCCTTGTGCTTACTCTTATTGCTATTAGATAGCCAGGTTATAATGTGGGCACTGTGCTTGCTCGATTACGGGTAGGGAGAGCTCCTGAGGATCTCATGGGACTAGTTCTGCTGATGGATGCGACTGACCAGGAACAGCGCCGGATTCTATGCCTCTCAGCTGGGTGTTAGGGTCTTGAGAGATAGTAGTGTATGTGGTTGTTTCTTCTAGTGTCTGCATCTGTGTTGAGAGATACTACATGTAGGTTTACGTTGTAGCTTTGGTTGCTAGTGTTAAGGTCAGTGGCTGTTTCTTCTGCTGTCTGCATCTGTGTTTGAACTTGAAATAAAATACCCTGCAAAACTTCGTTTGCAGCTCAGTTGCTGCAAAAAGGCCTGGCTGGCTGTTGCAGGCCCGGCTCGGGAGCCTAAAACTTTGTTACTATGTGGTTTCATTCTAACATAAATGGAGTCAGGGGAAACCCCTTTGTTAAAAAAGTATAGTAGTTATAATGCTTTTATCGTATAAGCTTTCACTGATTTCGTAACAAATATGTCGATGAACTCTCATTGTCTTTAGAAAAAAAACACGTTCACATCAATTCCAATGAATGAATACACACAAAACATCTAAGGATTTCAAACATGTTTACGCAAATTTCAGTCATTATTACACGTCTCACAAGTGAGTTTGACCATGTTTTTCTGGGTTTCAGAAACATCTAGTCTTGTTTTCAAAGAAGTCCAGAAACATTTCGACAAAATTCGCGCTGATTTTTGCAACTGCTTTAGGCAATTCATACCTAATGCCGCGCTGGCGTTGGAGATGGAGTCGCGGTGGGCTGTGGGTGCACAGGAGCGATGCCGCCAGCTACCACTGTCCCCTGGGAATGGGATCTTACAAAGTTTGAGATGTTGTTTTTTTGTTCCTCCTTGGCTTGCCGTTGTGATCTGTGCTGTGTGTTGGGCCTTAAACTGAAGCCCTTATAACAGAACTGTGGGTGCTCCGAATTCAAAGCTGCTGCAAGGGAGCAACTAGTTAACGAGCGCTCTTTCGGGAGCCTCGCAACGATCAGCGCCACTTGGCGCGCTCTCAGCCATTCGCCACATGTCGCGCTCTGGACGCTTCCTTCGGATTTTTTTTTTATTTTTTCGCACGCGTTTTCGGCTTTTTAAACGGTTTTTTTCGGTTTTGGTTTCTCCCGGTCTTTCATAGCTTTTTGATCAAAAAAATAATTCAAAAAAAAAATTTGCGCGAAAAAACACGTTTTCTTTTTTTTCCTTTCGCGAAAGTCACGGTTTTCCTTCCGCGAGAGTCACGGCCGTGCCTTTTGGAAACGAAAAAAACGCGTTTTCTATTTTTTTTTCGCGAGAGTCACGGTTTTGCTTCCGCGAAAGGCACGGTTGTTCTTTCGCGAGAGGCACGGCCGTGCCTCTCGGAAAAGGAAAAACAAAACGCGATTTCTGTTTTTTCTTCTTTCGTGAGAGTCACGGTTTTGCTTCCGCGAGAGGCACGGTTGTGCTTACGTGAAAGTAACGGCCGTGCCTCTCGGAAATGAAAAAAATACGCGTTTTTTATTTTTTTTTTCTTTCGCGAGAGTCACGGTTTTGCTTTCGCGAGAGGCACGGTTGTGCTTTTGCGAGAGTCACGGCCGTGCCTCTCGGAAACGGAAAAAAACGTGTTTTCTGTTTTTTCCTTCCACGAGAGTCACGGTTTTGCTTCCACGAGAGGCACAGTTGTGATTTCGCGAGAGTCACGGGCGTGCCTCTTTCGGAAAGGGAAAAAACCGTGCTCCCGGTTCGGTTTTTTTGCCCGGTTTTTTCATGAAAAAAAAGTTCGTCAAAATCTATCAACATGGGATCTAGTTTTGAAGATCTCGACGCGAGGAATCCAATGGTGAAAACGGTTCGAGATTTGGACGCACGGTTTAAGAGATAAAACGTTTTGAATAAACGGATCTACGAAAAAAGGGAAAACTCCCAGGTTGCGACAAGTGGCGCGCTACATGTGCGCCACTTGTCGCGACCTAGGAAAGTGAAGTGTTCTTTACAACGAATACTCCTTAATTAGTGATTTCACATAATCTATGAACAATGACATGATGCTCATCTTGGACTAAGAAATCTATAAAGCGCTCAAGCTTCGCTTGTCTATGTAATCTCTAATGACATGCCGGCCCGTCGATCAGGCAGGTCGCCGCTGCTGCTGTGTGGGAGCACAACAGCCCAGCAGGGCAACTCCGGCCACTTTGCTTGTTCCGAAGCCTAGCAGGACAAATTTTGGTAACCGTGCTACTCGAAATGATATTTGAACTTCTGAAAATCCTGGAAGAGTAGCTGCTATTGTCGGACAGCTACAGCTGGAAGGAGGTGGGGATGCAGGCGGTCAGAGCTACTCCAACGCGGTGACGCGCGCGTTTTGTCTGTTTGGATCCGTCGAGCGGATGGATGTGTCTGCATTTTCGTTTGGTTCGCCCGGTGCGTCCAACTGGTGGCCGACGCATTTACATGCATTATTTTTGGACGTCGATAACTGCCACACGTGTGGCATATACGACATGCGCCCACACACCGTATGTGGTATGAGCAGGAGGCAGCCCATACGGGCTGTGTGTGGGCGGCCATTAGAATTGCCCACACGTGTGGGCGCGGCTACTTCGTGCCACACGCCCAACAAGTACTACTCATCTTCATCCTGTGCGTGTGGCACGAAGTAAAAATGCCCACACGTCCTGATGCAGCTACGTTAGGTACCCCGCGGGATGACGATTTAGTTGCCATCCTGGTTGGCAGTTGTAGTTATCCGGGATGGCAAGTGTAGTTGTAAAAGCATGGCAACTCTATCTGTTTTGGTTAACTATAGTTGTCATGTCTAATTTATGATAGTTGCCGCGTGTAATCAAACCGTAGTTGCCGTGTGTGATTAACTACTTGTCACATATGGTCAAAACAGTAGTTGCCATGAGTGTTTACCTAGTTGCCACGTGTGGTCCAACCATAGTTTCCCATGTATTGTTAATCACAGTTGCCATGTGTGTTTTGGTTGCCACGTACGCGCAACTGCAGTTGCCGTGTAGCAAAGAATCACAGTTGCCGGGTGTGTGTACCGAGTTGCCACGTTCGCGTAACTGCAGTTGCCGTGTAGCAAAGAATCACAGTTACCATGTGTGTGTACCAAGTTGCCACGTTCGCGTAACTGCAGTTGCCATCCACAAGGTAGGAGTGTCGTGTGGGCGAAAAGTAGTTCGCCCACACGCGCATGACCTAGGTGGTGGCTGTGTGGGCGAAAAGCAGTTTGCCCACACAATGCAGCTGGCAAACAGCGTGATGCGGGCGTGTGGGCAAACTCTCCAACGCCCACACACCAGCCCCGTCCTACGTGGCACACCAAATCCACCTTTTCGTGTCAAGATTCATGCAAAAGACAGTGAATGACGATCCAGACGTGTGGGCGTTAGTGTTTTCGTTATTTTTTTGGAAAACATGCGGCTGAAATAAACATAATTATACATTAAACAGCTGGTCAACCGCCGGCCAAAGTCCACTTAAGCACTAAACAAAACATAAAAAAACACTAAAACACGCCGGTACACTGCCCTAGGCCTTGCCCTTGCCCTTGCCGTCGTCGTCGCTGGTGAGGTCGATGAAGGATGGCGGCGGCCCAGCCCATGGGAATGCGCTCTTCCACGCCACCAGTGTCGCCTCCTCCGGCAGCAGCATTGCTGCGCGCCAGGCGCGCTCCTCCTCCTTCTGCTCGCGGCACTCCTTCTCCTCGCATTCCCACCGCATCTGGCGCTCGTCGTTGACCCGCTCCCCCGCCAGCCGATGTTGCTTCCATCGCTCCAAGTGGGCTGCCTCCTCCTCCGGCGTTGCGTCCATGTGGACAGGACGCGCGCTCCTGCACTCGCGGACGATGTCGGTCCACGTGTACGTTTCCTCGGGACCGGCAAAGGAGAGAGGGAAGCGGCGACATCGCAGAGAGTTCCGCTTGTGGAGCTCGAGTAGGAAGTATCCAATATGTCGCTCCCCCCCCCCCAAACTCCGTCCATCCAGCCACCGACAAGGAAGGCGTTGTCTGGCCCGCCCGAGACAGAGGTTGATCCAATGTCGATTGGGCCATTTCGTATGGTTTTCCAGCAATGCATGCGCCGGAGGACAACGTGTGTCACTCGCAAC